AACCATGCTCATGGACTGAAAGAATTAATGTTGTTAAAATGTCCATACTACCCGAAGCAATCTGCAGATTTAAAGCAATCATTATCAAAAGACTTATATTATTTTTCTCAGAACTGTAACATATAATTCTAACATTTGTATGTAAACACAAAAGACTGAATAGTTATCTTAAGAAAGAAAAACAAATTTGGAGGTGTCACACAGATTTCTAGCTATACTACAAAGCTACAATAAACAAAACAGTATGGTGTTGACACAAAAATGAACTCATAGATCAACTGAACAGAATAGAGGGTCCAAAATAGACCCATGCTTATATGGTCAGTTATTATGACAAAGGTGGTAAGAATATATTGGGGAATATATTGTAGAAAAGACTGTCTTCAATACATAGTACTGGGAGAACTGGGGAGCTCTGTTTGCAAAAAGAATGAAACTGGACCACTTTCTTGCACCATCCACAAAAATAAACTCAAAATGGATTAAAGACCTAAATGTGCAACATGAAACCATAAAGCTCCTAGAACAGAAGAGAACACAGACAAATAATTTCTCTGACATTGGCCTTAGCAACATTTTTCCAGATACGTCTCCTCAGACAAGGGAAACAAATGCAAACATAAACTATTGGTACTGTACAAAAAGAAATCCTGTACATTGAAGGAAACCATCAACAAAACAAAAAGCCAACCTACTGAATAGAAGTAGGTATTTGCAGATGATATATTTGATAAGGAGTTAATATCCAAAATATATAAAGAACTTACACAATTCAACAGTAAAACAAATAATCAATTCAAAAACAGGCAGAAGACCTGAATAGACATTTTTTTAAAGAAGATATACAAATAGCCAACAGACACATGAATAGATGCTCCATATTACTAATCATGAGAGTAATGGAAACCAAAACCACAATTAAATATAATCTTACACTTATCAGAATGGCTTGGATCAAAAAGACTAGTAATAAGTATTGCTTTGGATGTGGTTTGTGCACTGCTGGTGGGAATGTAAATTGGTGCAGCCAATACAGAAAACAGTATGGAGGTTTCTAAAAAAAATTAAGAATAGAAATACTCTACAGTCTTATAATTTTCCTGTTTACTCAAAGAAAATGAAAATACTAATTCAAAAAGATATATGCACCCCTATGTTTATTGCAACATTACATATAATAGCCAAGATATGGAAGCAACCCATGCATCCATCAATAGATGAATAAAGATCCCCCCCCACACACACACACATTGAAGTACCACTCAGCCATAGAAAAGAATGAGATCTTGCCATTTGTTACAACATGGATGGGCCTAGAGAGTATTAAGCTTAAGTGAAGTCAGGGTAAGACAAATACCATATAATTTCATTCATATGTGGAATCTAAAACACGCACACACTAATCAGAGACCAATCCATAAATAGAATAAAATGATGGTTGCTAGAGAGGAGAGGGGATAGCAGTGCTGGTAAAATGGGTGAAGAGAACGGGAAACATAGGCTTCCAGTTATGGAATAAACCATGAGGATGAAAGGCACAGCATAGGGAATACACTCAGTTTTATTGTAATACCATTGTATGGTGTTAAATGGTAGCTATACTTGAGGTGAGCACAACATATAAAATTGTCAAATCACCATATTATACCCTTGACACTAATGTAGTATCATGTCTCAACTATGTTTCAATAAAAAAAAATGAAAAGGTAGGCATTAATAGCAAACTCAGTATTTTAATTTTCTCCATAAACAGAAGAGCTAATGAGGGTTGGGTATAAAGGCAGGTGGACAGTTGCCTTTTAATGGCTAGATGTGATGTGGAATGAACAGAAAATTGTCAAGAACTAGAAGTGAAAGAACAGTCAAATGATACCTAGGCTGAGGTACTGAGTGTCTACACCAAGGTAGAAATGAAGTTTGGGAAGAGTGGGGTGATTATGTGTTCCTTTTTTTAATTGAGTGCTCAGTATTTTTTTTTAATTTTTTAAATTTATTTATTTATGATAGTCACACACACACAGAGAGAGAGAGAGAGGCAGAGACACAGGCAGAGGGAGAAGCAGGCTCCATGCACCGGGAGCCTGACGTGGGATTCGATCCCGGGTCTCCAGGATCGCGCCCTGGGCCAACGGCAGGCGCCAAACCGCTGCGCCACCCAGGGATCCCCCGAGTGCTCAGTATTTTACAATTGACTGTACCCTGAAAGTCACTTTTCTTAGTCTAAATCCTTTCCTTACAGATCAGAAGTTATAGTTGGTCTCAAAAGACATCTTTGTTCCTTGCTATACAATTAAGCTTGGGTTTCTTTTCTGAGCTGCTGCCATCTGCACACCTTATGTTATGGGACAGAAGACTGGTACATGCTATTTCTTACTGAGAATGACATCAGAAACATGGATTCGCCCTCTGCAGGACAGTGCTTCTGCCATTGCCCAGGAGATCGAAGTCAAGAACAGAACAGGAGAGAGACATGAAGCATAATTAGGTTTATCCTCCATGAAGAAGTTATTTCACAAATAATGAGGCAGAACCTCTCCAATTTTAATAATAATGGAGTGTATATCATTGAGATTACTGAATCAAATTAATGAGTTAGCTACTGATAAGAATGAAACAACAAGATAATAAATGCAAGGGTACTTTCTGCCCGCAGATGCCATTTAAACAGGATTTGAGAAGAGTCAAGTTTCAATTCCCTCTTTTTTTTTTTTTAAGATTTTATTTATTTATTTGAGGAAGAGGGAGGGAGGTAGGGAAGGAGGGAGCGGGAGAGCACAAGCATTGGAGAGGGAGAAGCATGTGTGGGGCTCAACCCTAGGACCCTGGGATCATGACCTGAGCAATTAGCAGTCACCTAACCAACTGAGCCACTCAGGCGCCCCTCAAGTTTCAATTCCTAACCAACTATCTCCTTTCCTTTAAATAGAGAATATAGTACATAGGGCTCCTTAGAGGTATACAGCTGAATTTTTTTCCTCTTTGAAGCAGAAAATATAAGGGCAATAATAATAATGCATCCAATTAAGTGTAGAGAACCCAGGTGACAGTCCACCAGAAAAAAAAGGTTCAAGTTGGCTTCCTCTTTGCCAAAAGCTCAGTCTCCTGTGTTCTATTTCCAAGTCATGCCCTCTTCTGTTTCTTTGGTCATTAATTACTGTGCTCCTCCCTTTGCTCTCACATTACGAAACTACTCATCAAGTAATGAGGAAAAAATGATAACCAGTAGCATACTAGACATTTCATTACTGAAATCAGCATAAAATGATTATATAAAATCACTAGGAAATTAAGTGGCCGCCTTTTCACTTTTAAAACTATACTTTGACTAATCAAAAGTCCATCTTATTTAATATCATCTAACAAGACCCCCTCCAAGGTATCTCTCTTCCTGGACCACAGTTATACGTAATCTGGAGCATTATAAAATGTTCTGATCTAAACTAGCAACCTGACTCGATTCATTATTCACTTTAAACTAATGAGATTATTTGTTCAAGTGATGTTATTAATGGATTGCATAATATCCATCAGATAAAATACTGATACAATGTTGAAAGCAAGCAAATTAAGTCATCACAGGCCTAGAAAAACGATGACGGAGGTTGCCAGGATGGTCTGATTTGTGGTGCATTCAGACTTAAATAATGGCTCACACTCTTTTCTCCTACTATGATTTTTATGTGTGTGAAATAAATCTGTGAAGCCAACAAAGACTAACCAAATGTATGAATTTGAACTTCTAATGAATACAATGACATTTAAAAGTCTCAAAGGTCACCCTCATAACACTAAAGTAATTCCACTGAAGTCAAAAACAATTTAAAAATATTTAGAGAAAAGGGCCAAGCAATGTCATTAGTATATATTGGCTAGAGGCAAAGGATAAGGGGGATGAAGCAGAGATATTCTCTATTTTATTATAGCCTAAAATCAATTGTAGCCTTCTCTTATTAGAAGTATTGAATAATTGTTAAAAATATCGACACCCGTAAGGTAATATTTTGACATTGCCATATATCTTACATACTTTTATTAACCAATATCATGTTCAATCATGAAAATATTTCTGCTCATGTGTATTTGTGTTTCCCAAGAGAAAAACAAAATTACAGTAAAGTGATAGCTTACATTTGTATAGCAGCCTAATTTACAACTGCATCGCCTCTTAGGATTTTAAAACTCTCCTGTGAAGTTGATAAGAAAAGCATTATTTCCCCATTTTGAAAAATAAACAAAGACAGTAGGAGGCTGGTCCAAAATCACCTGGTATTCAGCTTCAAAATCCAGAGATTTTTTTTTAAGTGAGTTTGCTCTCCGTTGATTTGCCCTTTGTGTAGTAGGAAGGGCAGAAATGTCACCTCCTTTTAAAGAGGAGATTAAAATTGCAGTGGCAGAAACAGCCATGACCCCTGGTGAAGAAAAGGCTCCTAACAAAATTCTGACTGGTCTCTTGATTTTTTTTTTCTTGATTTATTAAAAGCAGTGCTTAGAGCAAAAGGGAATAAAAGTTATACAATTTTTAATTTCCCTGTCAAAATTATGGTATCAGGTTGTCGAACCTGATTCTTTATATGTAGGTAAAACATGAGCTGAAATTAATTCTAGATCATGACCTAGCATTCAAACTATTACATGTATATATGCACACACACACATGTATAGACATACTTTTTTTTTTCCTAAAGGATCTTCAAAACAGTATTTAAATACATTGCAAAATAGCACAGAACAAAAATGAGTCACTCAACCCTCAGGGGCTAGATTTTATGACTGACTTAGGATAGATAATTAAAACAATAATAATCACAAAGATGAATCTGTCCTTCCTATCTGCTAAGAATTAGGTCCAGATCAGTTTGACTTACACATGTAAATTTTATAATACCACTACCTTGCTTTGATGTAGTAGTTTAGTTTTTCAGCAGGCTTTCACATGCTAATATACACTGTTACACTTCTGGGTTTAATGAGAAAATCATCCTCCTGTCTCTGGGCCTCACCTTGTGAAGTCTGTCATTTCCATCATGATCATACACATCTGCTTGGCCAGCACAATTATATCATTGCCGCTGTCATCCCATTTGGCCACTTCAGCATCCAGCTTGCTTTTTTCTTGGTGGAATATCTCCACCTGCTCAGCTATTTTTGCCTTCTCCTCCTGCGGTAGTTGTGCCATGATGGCCTGTGTGGATTACAGAAAAAAGTGTGACCAATGGTAACAAAGTAAATACAGACAGTAGGTTGACTCTGCCTCAAGTTAATGGAAAAGCCAGACCCCGACGAGGTTTATAGGCTGCCATGCCATTCCAGAAAGTATGTTTCCACATTCCTAGGAAGGAAAAAGCACAGACTGGCAAGGTCCTTCAAATCCCCGTCCCTATTCCTATGCACAAAAAATACAGAGATCCAAAAGGTACGTGCACATTGACAGTAACAGAACTTCTGTGTCGCTTTGATGACATATGTTTGTTCAAAAGAATCTATTCTTGACAATTTTTATATTTGGTCTCAGGAAACTTTTACCAGATGAAAGAGTGCACCTCTTTCAACACTGAAATCTGTTCAGAGAAGGAAAAAAAAAAAAAGAAAAAGAAAAAGAAAAAAAGGCTTTCTGTCGCTGGGAAGGAGAGGAGTTTTAAACAATATCTGAGCATCTAAGTGGGGTGCAGTGGGGAGCATTTCCATGAGTGTTAATGAAGGAGACCATAGTTAGATACCAAACCATCCCCTAACTCAGGGCATTTCAGGGATGGCATACCTCCCCTACAGAAATCCTGAAATAATTTATTATGGCTTCCCACACAGCCCAGAAGTATGGAGAAGTTGTGATGGGATAAAGCATAGGTTTAGGAAGCAAAGGTCAATTTTCAATAGTTGCTAGGTAAAAGAATGTAGAAAAGCAAAAACTACAGCTGATTCTCATCATTAATGGATTCTTTATTTTCAAATTTGCATACTCTAAAATTTATTGGCAATCCTAAAATCAATACTTGTGGTGCTTTTGGTCATTCACAGACATGCAAGGAGTTGCAAAAAATAATTGAGTCACCTGACAGGTCTGTTCCCAGATGTGGTTGAATAATGAATTCTCTGCTTTCTTGTTTCAGCACTAAAGAAGTGTGCTTTCTGTGGTCTATTTAGTGCCACATTTCCCACATCTTAGTGCTCTTTGTTGATAATTTTGCTGTTTAATATGGCCCCCAACTATAGTGCTGCCTAGCATCCCTAAGTACATAGAGGCTGTGATGTGCCTTTTGAAGAAACATGTGTATTAGACAAGCTTCATTCAGGCATGAACTGTAGTGCTCTTGGTCATGAGTTCAAGGATACTGAATTAAAATTATAAAGTATCTGAAAAGAAACATTCATTAAACACGATTATTTATTGATTGGTTGAAACAAAATGTTCAGACTAGCAGCTCTTAGGAATTTAACCCTCTATTTCCTCTAGAAGCAGGAACTCCGTATTTGCTAATTAAGTGTTCATGGGGACTTTATGGAATATAAATACCACAAATTAAGACAACCAACTATATTTGTTAAACACCATGTATATAGCAAGCCCTGAATGCAATATGTAGTGTCACCTCATTGCATCCTCTTGGAACCATGTGCAACCTGCTTCACAGCAAGGACCATGTGAATAAGTATGACAGCACTGGTAGCCCTCTGGTTCTGGGATATGTATATTAACCAATGAGAGCATAATTTAGGGAACTTACAGTTTTTGCAAGGGACAAATAAAATAATATTTACAAGAAAATCCTGCTTCCTTAATTATAAAGCTCCTCTCAATGTAAGTGAATTGTTGGAAGGAAAGGTGATTGATTTCTTTTTTTTATTTATGCAAATTTATTTAAATTCAAGTTGGTTAACATATATTATATTATTAATTCTGGGGTAGAATTTACTGATTCAAAAGTTCCATCTAAAATCCAGTGCTCATTACGTCAAGTGCCCTACTTAATTCCCATCACCCAATTGCCCCATGCCCTTACCCAAGGTAGTTGATTTCTAATAAAAATATCAATGGACATAAGCTCACAAAAACTAGGCTCAATGGACTCTGTCACTGACTTAGGTTAAGACCTAATTGCTACTGGATCATATCCTTAACTTCTTCAGATCTAAGAATAGTAAACAATTACCGCAAAGTTTTATGGTAGACAGCAAATGAAAAGAATGTGTTGTGCTTTGTCCAAAAAAATGAAAGCATATATGAGATTACTGTTAATATATCATCATCATGTCTATATTAGTTTTCCTTTCCAACTACCTCTCTAGCTTATTACCTAGTTGCCGTGAAACACCTGGATGGGCCCAAATTCTGTATGACTATACATAAATAGAAGATTGACATGATTCCTTGAATACAGATATATATACCAGATAGTGTGCTAAGAGGCTTATGTATAAAAAAAAAAAAAACAATTTACTTCATCATTCTACAAGATTGATACTATTGTCACTCCTATTTTATTAATGATGATACTATGGCCCAGAGGAATTAAGTTTTTAATATTATACAACTAATAAGCAATAGGAATAGGATTCACACCCAGGCTAACTAATCATACTTAACTATTGTATACAACTAGATCACCATGCACAACCACACGGGTTAGACACTGCACAATGATCCTATTTCAGTGGCAAAAGGGTTGCTGAAATCACAAGTATTGTTCACCAGGGTGAGCACCTAGAGATGAGGCTTCATCTGCCAAAGTAAGGGGTGTCTTCAATTTTCATGAAGGTATCCCTGGACTATTAACTACACAGATACATCTTACTAATACACAGCCGTGTTTACTATATTCTGCGCATGCATGTGATTTTATATAACTAGCATGTGAGTCTCTGTGTATGTGTATGTGTGTGAGTGTGTATGTGTATATACAGAAATTATAATCCGTATTTAAAAAGCCAGACTCGGGATCCCTGGGTGGTGCAGCGGTTTGGCGCCTGCCTTTGGCCCAGGGTGCGATCCTGGAGACCCGGGATCGAATCCCACGTCGGGCTGCCGGTGCATGGAGCCTGCTTCTCCCTCTCCCTGTGTCTCTGCCTCTCTCTCTCTCTCTCTGTGTGTGTGACTATCATAAATAAAATAAAAATTAAAAAAAATATTTAAAAAAAAAAAGCCAGACTCATATAAATATTATAGTTAAAATATTTAAAACACTACATTTTTGAGAAATATTTTAGAGTACTTTAAAAACTGTATTAAAGAAAGGCGGTTAATATATAACAAAATATTTGGTTATAAACTCACATATACAATATTTTACTAATAACAAGACAGTTATCTCAATGCAGTTTAGATAGGTTTGGATTTGCAGAAGTTAAATATGTATTTTTTTCCTAAAGCATCCTTGCCTGATGGTCTGATGCTCTCCTCATACAAAGCTGATAATCATGTTTTACTTAGACCTCACAGGTCCTAACCACCAACCTTTAAACCATTCACTAGGTACTTCTCTATAGAAGAATCTGTGAAACTACCCAGCAGACCTCCAGAGTCTACATTTAATCCCCAGACGGAAAGCAATGAAACTTTCATTGTCTCAACAGGGTTAATTTGTGCATTAAAGGGTGTACACTTCTCTTTTGACTATATCACATGAGTTTCGATTGTATAATTTAGGATTTGAGTATTAACTGCTTTGATCTACTCTCTAATTTGTATAAATGTCCTACTTCTGACTTCTCTCTGAGCTTCCTTAGGGTAGAGGCTTCAGGATCCTGCAAGGAATAGAAGCTCAATAAATATCTTTTGATTGACTGTGTAACTATTTTTCCACTCACTGCATCAACATAGTTCAAGAGAAGTTAGCAGAACTGACAAACATTTTCTAAGGGCACAATTCTGAAGAAAAAAAATGGCCTCTTCAAAGCAGATTTGCAAAAGAAGATGTTATTTTGACTCTAGGGGTGCTCGACCCGCATAATGCACTTAATGGTGTGTGACTTGGGTGCAAGTGTCATTACATTTGCTTCTGCTTATGTAGCTATCAATGAGTCAAAGTCTTTTCCTAAATATTCTTAAAATGTTCCTGCTGGCTTTAAAAAATTCATAATTGACCTTTTCTGAAACTGAAATTAAAAAAAAGGTTATCTATAAACAGTAGATCACAAACTGTGAAATTTGCAAGTTAATCAAATTAAAATTCAACACATGAGTTTTAATTAGGTCTTATCAATGTAACTCAGCAGTTTGAAATGTTAACACATTAAAGTTGTTCTAGCTAGAAAAAAAAAAGGCTGACTGCATTCAAATCAAGTTGAATACAAACTATGTAACATACAATTGTTCATTCCCTCAAACTAGGAGGACACGAGAAAAGTGATTTTCGTGGCCAAGAGGAAAGGGAACAAATCAGCTTTTCTGTTTCCGTGATGTGATCAGCTGGGCAGTCTGAGAGTTTGTGCTGCTTCTACACAGTAGTCAAGCACAGTTCGACAGATTGTTGATGTGGCTGATCTGGGGCCCTGAACTATGGCATCAGAGACTTGAATCCACAAAATTTCCTGTGCCTCATGCTAGGTTTCCAGCCTTTCCTCTGAACAGCCAACTATTTTTTGTGATTGAAGTTACAAACCCTACTTATTAAACAAAAGTGTAAATCACTGATACAGCCAACAATCACTCAGCCCAGAATCTTTTATTCAGTCTAAATCTCAGGAGCTTTTGATAGGATTATTTTTCTAATCTCAAAGAGAAAAGTGACTTTTGAAGTCTATAGGCTTCCAAACTGACAAGTGTTAGTTCCTCAAACCAGAGTAAGAGTCTAACATTTAGGCTTCAACCACATGAATTTTTTTTTAATTTTATTTATTTTACAGAGAGAGAATGAGAGAGAGCACACATACACAAACAGGGAAGTGGAAGAGGGAGAAGAAGAAGCAGGCTCTCCACTAAGGAGGGAGCCCAATGCAGGACTCAATCCTAGGACCCAGGGATCATGACTTGAGCTGAAGTTAGACACTCAACTAGCTGAGCCACCCATGTCCCCCCATATGAATGTTTATACATAATGATTAAAAGGGCTAAAACTCAATGTATCCATTTCTACTCACTCAGTTGTAAAGCAGAATAATAAATATAAGTAGTTAAAAAGTGGGTCCTTTGACTTTTACCAGTCTCAGGCTGTAAAATGAATAGGAAAATTGAGGTAATTGTCTCATTAATTCACATAAAAACTTTCATGATTTTTTAAATTGTCCAAGTTCTTCTAGGTTTAATTATTTGACCAGCCTTCTAATGAAGAACTATCTTATGCATTTAAGCATCAGCATCATCTTCTTCATCAACTTCACAGTTTGTGACATATTTTGTGATATGCATGCAGTCCTCCTAATGACATCATGAGATAGAATGCTGTGCATACACATACACACACACACGTGGGATAAGATATGGACAGGTTAAGAAAATTGCCCAAAGTCACACATCTTGACCAAGCCCATATTTAAAATAAAGTCTTTGAGACTCCAAATAATATATTCTATCACCAGGGTTAAGTGCCCAAGAGTTGTCACTGACCAATTTTAACATCAACCTGTGAAGAAACAGCTTATAAAATGTCATGTCTAGGATCATAGGGTCTGATTACTTCTACATTTTGTCAGATCAGGAAATGATCATTCTCTGCCTCTCCTGTTCTCATAAAATGCTGTAGAGGAGCAGTACATAGTACACAAAGGAAATAAACACTTTAATTAGTTTAGGAGCTATGTTGGAGTAGATACTAAAAGCTTTTCTCCTACCTTAACCTCCTTTTAGATTAATTTACCTTTTGCAGAGGAAGAATTTAACGAATGAGAACACAAAATAAGTCCACTAACAGAGAAGGACTGGCAGTGGCAAAGAACAACTACCTCTGTCAAAGACAACGTTTGCCTCCTTAACAATTTTGGCCAAGTTAACATACTTCTCTGGTCAAAAGTTCAACCATCTGTCATCTCAGAAATTCAATGCACCCTCTTATTTCCAACTTACAGCCATAATTCTAGGCCTCTGATTTGTCATCATATAATTACAGGCTAAAATAGGCTGACTCAATAACTAATGCTGTCTGCTGCAAGTTAATCACACAGATCACATGATGGATTTCAAAAACAAATCAGCAAGTGCTCGATTATAGGGGTACTTTGTTCTTACTATCCTGAACTATATTCATAATTCATGCTGAAAAATCTTTCAAAAAAGACTATTGTCTTTTCACCTATTGGGTGAAAAAATAATAGATGATACAGAAATGTGCTATCTGATTTTTGTTTCCACCCATCTTAATTGACTTGGTATCTAATGTAAGACACATGAAATGGAAGTACAATGGGACTGCATTCTTCCTGATAAAAAGTGGTACTAATCGTGCCATTTTGACAAGATGGTGATTATAAAGTACAATAAGGGTCGTACAATATGCCTTGGTCTTTAAAAAAAAAAAGTCAATGGATACTGGGCTGTATAAATACTGAATTGCAGTTAGTCAATAAAATTGACTTTGAATTGATTAATGTTTGGATGAATTACTAAAATTGTCATTGACATAAAAATGCTGGTTTTACTTAATTTTGAAGAGGAGATGACTTGATGGATGAATTGGTTTAGTATTATGCGAACATAGACTCAAAAGCCTCTCAGCTAAATGAACTTCTGTTTTCACACTGGTAGGGGAGGGGGTTAATTAGAGTATACAAAAGATTTTCAAAGTAATGGACTTCATATTCTTTTGTGTACTTTTCTACTGTCACTAATCTGTGATCCAAAATAATTTCTCTTCCAAGGGATCACAATTTTCAGTCATCCTTTACTGGGCATTTAAACTACGTCAGGAACTATGCTAATTATTTTACAAATATTAAGTAATTAAACATCAAAAGAATCCCATCAAGTAAATCTATTATTCACATTTTATAGATAAAAAGACTGAAGCTCAGAAAAATTAAGCAACATGTAATGGAGCATGGTCCTCACTCCACTCTACAATTCAAAACCAAGTCTATCTGAAATCAAAGCCAGCCCATCTTTAATAATCTGGCTTTTATCCTCACATTTCTCCTATCAATGTCCATCTATATCTTGTAAATCATTCCATTGTTGCATGAGACTATCGGGACATAAAGTATGAAAGAGAAATTGCGTTTTAAATACAAAGATTTTCTTGACTCAATGTAGGCTTAGTCCTCTTTGAGTCCTCTTTATTTTAACCTCTCACTGGCTATTCCTACTCTTCTATCACAATTTCTAAATCAGTGTGAGCTTTCTGGGGTTTCCTAACCTCTACTCTAAATTACTACCTCTTCCTCTATGTTATTTTTTCTTAAGTAAAACTTAACAGAGAATTAGAATAAATTCTAATTAGAATATGATAAAAATCCAATCTATAATGGAAATGTTTTTATCCTATAAAACATGAATCTTTAAAGGGAGGAGAATCTCATCTCCTTTTTTAATGCCCAGGAATTAATCTCCTGACACCTACCTTTGATTACCTGAATCTACCCTAAAGGAGATATGGTTAATAGAATCGGTCAGGATCATGTCTGCAACACTTGGGTTGGCAGAGAGTGTCATGTAGTATTCAAACGTCAGCCAGAGCAATGATCTTTCTTTGCTTCTTGCTCCATGCCTTAAGCTGGAATATTTCTCATATGTCTCTAGAGTTTCTTTCTCTGTCATATAGCAGACAGATCTAGGATTACTGCCCTTGCCATACGTAGGTGCATGAAACCCAAGTCCTGGATGTCCACTCACCCGTGCACTCTGCCCTGCAATTAGCTGGTCGTCCTCAGTCTGAACACTTGTCCGGCTGCGCACATCATAATCTTCCTGTTCAAAGTCAGAATCGTCCTCTAGTTCTTCTGGAGTCTAAAGGTACAAAGGAAAAGAGAAAAATCAGCATATTTTAAATTGATAACCTTCAACCCACCCAAGTACTTTGTGGCTGCAAAAGCTAAGTAGCTCCCAGGAAAGAAAACTTGTGGGTAGTTACATGTAGGGGGTTATGGAGGAGGGTATTGGCTGTAATGGAGTCAGAAAAACCAAGCTACCCCAATTTATCCATAAAAAAACAAAACAAAAACAACAATAACTCTATTACTTCCTCCTGTAGGTATAAAAAGTCTGTAACTCTTGACATGACATGCTTTCTAATTTTAAGAAAAATTATATTTGTGTGTTTTTCCACCCATGGAAATCTATTCTAAGATAGAAAATCACCATCAATAGCAAAAGTTGTACCTAGACTTAGTCTATAATTATCTTTTTGTTCTATTACAAGTCTTTTCTAGTCTTAATAAGCAAAAAGAATTGATCATCTCCAAGCCAATGGTTAGTCCAGATGAAATACCTGATGTGGTCACTAAACCGTATAGCGAATAGGTTGCGACTATAGACTCCAGAGTCAAGACTGCCTGAATATGAGCATCTGTGTGATCACTGGAAAAATCCTCTTAGCTTTGATTTCCTCCCCTGTGAATTGCTGTTGATAAAAGTTCCTCTATGATTTTTGTGAAGATTAAGTAATGTACTTTGTGTAGAGAGCCTGGCACTTAATAGGCATTTAAAAAATGTTTGCGGGGATCCCCAGGTGGCTCAGCAGTTTAGCGCCTGTCTTTGGCCCAGGGCGCGATCCTGGAGTCCCGGGATCGAGTCCCACATTGGGCTCCCGGCATGGAGCCTGCTTCTCCCTCCTGTGTCTCTGCCTCTCTCTCTCTCTCTCTCTGTCTCTATCATAAATAAATAAATCTTTAAAAAAATAAAAATAAAAAATGTTTGCCATCACCATTATGTAGAATTTTGAAATCAATTCATTCATACACTTTTAAAAGTGAAGCTACCAATCACTTACAAAACCATCCAGGATTAAATAACTCCTTCTTATATAGTATCAATTTAACTAAAACCAGCAGAGGTCTGGTTTCCTATTAGGATTCTCTAATTTATTCTCTATTTAGGGATAAGAAAACCAATGTTCTGAGAAACAACATGCCCAATGTCACTAAAACTAGTTAATAACAGAATTAGAATTTAGACCCAAATGCCCAAATGTGTCTAACTTTTTCACATTATAAATCAGGTAAGAACTGGAGCTATGGAATGGCTTTAAAGTAAGTAGTTACATGAAGATCCTGTCCATTCTGTGTCAGAGGACATGATGTAATCCATAAACCCAGAAGCAAAAATACTCCCTATCTTTAATGACCATAATAGATAACATACACTAAGTGCTTTTCTTGTGCCAATAATGGTGTTCTCTAATGACTGTATGTATACTAATTCATACAGTTTTCTTCACAGTCCTGTGATGTGGACATCATTTTCTCCACTTTACAGATGAGGAAACTGAGGCATGAGTGGTTACACTTTGTTTTGAGGTGTAACCTGCAGCATGTACTGTAGACTATCATCCTCTGCTAATTCTAAAAAGATGAACTCAGAGTTGGTGAAGATGGTGCATGAAGAGGAGACAGTGCATTAGTGTGACCTTCTCAGATCAATGGTTCTTAGACAGCTGACAATCAACCAAAATCTTCTTCTTGGTACACAGTGGCACCACCTCCTAGGGCTTTGCATTTCAAAAGGAAGAAGCAGACCACAGTAGTATTGATGATGCAGTTGCCCATTCCCCTTCCAAAAGGGCACATTTTTATTCTGCTGGTTTCTTCAGCTACCTCAGTGTAATTAATCAGGTGCGATTATTGATGAAGCCTTGAGATTGGTCATACAGGGATAAAATGGGGTCTTCATGCCAATATCACATTATGCGTAGTAATTTCCAAGCTTTGGCATATCCTTCTTGTTTTCCTTCTCTCTCCCCATCAACCTTATTAATATTCACTCAGTCATCCACAGATGTCCAATTTTCTTTCACAGAATTATTAAAAGAAAGAAGGAAGAAAGAGGCTTTGTTCCCATACTTTATTAACTAAAGCAGGGGTGGGGTGGGCAGAACCTGGTTCAAATAACTGGTTGTATTTTCATTGTGGACAGAGACAATAATCTCTCATCATTTTTCACTCTTCTGGAATGTACTGCAGAACAATTACAGCAAGTTGGTAAATTCTGCTGACAGATGAGATGACAAGAATGCAAGCGCTTTTCATCATTAGTTTTTTAAAAGGAGAGAGAAAAGTAAAATGAAAAACCTCACTCAACAGAAAAAAAGGAAAATATGACAGTGCCTATAGTACTGTGTCCAAACATTTCAATGATCTGTGTGTTTAGCGGATGAGTCAATGACAAACACAACCTGGCAGCATAAGGTTAATTATGATGAGCTTTCATTCAAGTGACTAGGGCTCAGAAACCAAAACAAAGTTTAATAATGAAGAAAGAAATAATATCATAGACGTGGACCCAGGGAATCTGAATGTTTTTGGCCTAACTCTGCCACTCATAAACCGTGTGTCTTTGGCAAGTCACTTACAGTTTTTCTGTTTCTCTTTCTCCTCAATCATAAAATGGAGATAATTCCTATTTGCATTGTCTGCCTCACAGGATTCTACGGTAAATATATATATGAAAATGCTTTGTAAATGATAAAAATGAACTCAAGTAATAAGTGATAGTGATGCTTATTATGTTTAATATATACCTAATAACAACTGCAATAATCATAATAATAGAAATAATTTTCATCAACCACTATGGGCCAGGCATTCAGCTAAAGAATTTAATCCTTGTAACAACCTAATGAAATGAATCTTATACCTGGGGCACCTGAGTGGCTCAGTCAGTTAAGTATCTGACTCTTAATTTCAGCTCAGGTCATGATCTCAGAGTTGTGGACTCAAGCCCCATAGCAGGTTCCACACAGCCTGCTTAATATTCTCTCTCCCTCTGCCCTTCTCTTCCAAAAAAAAAAAATGCCAATTTTATAGTTGTATAAACAAGTTCAGATTTGTTCAATCAGTTTTCCAGGGTATTACACCTGCACATTGAAGTGGCTCCAGAGCCCATGCTTTCAACCATCACAAGTAACACCAGGCAAATGGATGAGCTTAAAATATTTTCTTGTGTCTTAATCATTCAGTAAACCCATCCAAGCAACCCATATAAATAGTTCTGTGCATGTGCAGTTTGCTAATTGAATGTAAATGTGTCTACTTCTCATGCTGTTATTTTTGAATTATTCATTTTAACAAGTAGCAGTGTTATATTTTGGTTGGTCAAGGGCCTCCATACATTAAAGGAGACCTGGAAAAATAGTGAAGGTCTGCAAATGGGCCCAGAGATAATAATATTTGTTATCATTAGGTAGTGTTTATTGAGTAAAAAAGAATCAACAAAATGTATAATTCACTGGACTGGAAGCTGGAAACTGAGGGTCAAGCCTCAAATTTGCCTTTCTGTGCTCCCTGGGAAGGCTTCTTATAACCATCAAAAACCACTTTGGGGTCTACAGTTGGTCTCCTAGGTCTATTATCTGTTAGATTGCAAAAGTGGGTTTTACTTGTAAAATGGCATGATTAAAGTATTTGGCCTAAAATCTCCCCCACCCCTCTAGGAGATTAACTTGTGCCTATTTCAGAGGCCCAAGAAAAGCATGTGCTTGTTCAGGGTCACTCCACACATCAGTTATAGTACAGAATCAATCTACCTGCTTCTGGCTCCCAATCAAATGCTTAATCTTCTCTACAACAGTTTCTGGAGTAAAGAAAAATGAGAAAAGACTGCAGGTTTTAGAGTTGTTTTACCAAGACACATGAAAAATATATTAAGGGCCATTTAAAAGAAATGCTCAAATTTATATGAGAGTTCCACTGGGAACAGAAATATGAGGACATGGGAAAGCACCAGGATAGTTTGGGTGACACCAGAAGAAGGATTCCCCAAGCAAAATACTGGAATTACATTTTCCTAAAATCAATATAGAACAAAATCCTCTCACAGGCAAGAATGATTGGCCATTGGCATCTCTATAGTGGATTATTCTGGAAGGTTCTTGATTGATCTTGCTACGGTTTTTTTCTCCATATATTCTACTCTCTCCAGGAGAGTCAGGCTGGTAATCCCTGAAGAGCTAAGTAGCTTGGAACACGTCAATGGCTCACATCTCATTCAGCAGGGTCTTTAGGCTTCCTTTCCCTCTGCTGGGAGCACAATTTTTCCTAATATTTTTATGGTTTGTTTCCTCCTCCTTCTCCAAGTCTATTCTCCAATGCTACCTAATCAGTGACCATCCTTCATAAAACTCATACCCACCTCGTGTTCTATCCCTGTATACTGCCTTGGTTTTCTCCATGGCACAGTCCAGCACGTTCTATATTTTTTCTTATTATACTCTCTGTCTCCCACCAGAGGAATATAAATTTTCTGAAAACAGAGGCTTATGTTTTGTTCACCTCTCCATTCAGGGTCCATCCAACAGTGTGAGGCTTCTAATAAGCATTCAACAAATAATAAATAAATGACCAAGATCGAATTACCAAATTTTTCTGAAAAATTATATGAAATTATTTCTAATGACTTGAGTTAGGAAATCAAAACTAGGACTCTTATGGGACCATGTTAATTAACTGGATAATAGCAGTCTGCAAAAGGAAAATCAGTTTTGTCACAAAAGCCTTTCCAGCTCTTCATTTCTAGCTCTGATGAATAACTCCAATTCCTTCAGTTTTAATAATATTGTTCATTTATTTAACAAATTCTATTTCATTAATTGATTGTAATAAGAAACTTCATCCTAGCAGCATGAGAAAAGAAAAATATTTCTCAAGACCCACTCAATGCCAGGTCTGGGCTAGTGCTCTATAGCCAAGGCAATATTTATCCTTATTTGCAGATAAGGAAACTGAAGTAGAGAGAGGAAAACAAGCATGCCTGCCAATGACCAAAAAACACTTAGGCTGTAGGTTCCCAAACTCTACTGCTTCAAGTATTCTCTCTGCCTCAGTAATTTTTTCAAGATGCCTCTTAACTAAAAACAACAACAACAAACAAACAAACAAAAAAACCAGCCACAAACCAAACAGATGTGTTAAGCAGTAAGATCACAAAAATGGATTAAGCTGATTAGACTTAACCTCTTAGTGCCTGGTACACATTGCAGGACTTCTCAAATCTTGGAATACAACCAAGCATTCATTGAACCTTCTTTTTCTCACAACAACCACCCAAAACCCAGCTTCACAAATATAAGATATTATTAAAAGGATTATACCAACCTAATGTTTAAACTGTGAGCTAATTTTGGCTATTATTTTACATAATATCTGAGAGACATCTATGTGTTTCCCTTGAAATTTTAAACATCTTACAATGCTCCAAGAGCCCTTTCAGGCAGTTTGGGATTTATCAAGTTAAACTTTAGACTTTTGGGTAGTGCCAGTGGCCCAGTGGTTTAGCATCACCTTTGGTCCAGGGCCTGATCCTGGAGACCTGGGACTGAGTCCCACGTTGGGCTCCCTGCATGGAGCCTGCTTCTCCCTCTGCCTGTGTCTCTGCCTCTCTCTGTCTCTATCTCTGTCTCTCATGAATAAAAAAAAAAAAAAAAAAACTTTAGACTTTTATCAGGCCTTACTGTTTCCCTGACCTTCTTTCAAAAGTATCATGTGCAACTAAATTAACTGTTATGATAATACCAATCTAACAATTTTGGTGCCTACACACCAAAAAGTTTCTTTGTAATCCCCAAATCAATGCCTGTATCATTTTTCACAGACATATATAGCGTGGAAAAAAACTTGAGTCACCTAAGCTTGTGTTCCCAGCTGAGGTCCAACAGCTGGGACCTGTACCATGCAATGTGTACAGAAGCTTCATCTTCTTTTTGTTTCAGCTCTTATACTGAAAATAAGTATCCTTTTTGCATTCATTTAGTGGCACATATTTTTGCACTTTGGTGCCTTTTGTTGGTGATTTCTCTGCTTACAACAGCTTCCAAGTACAGTGCTGAAATGTTGTTTAGTGTCTTGAGTGTAAGAAAGTTGTGATGTCCTTTACAGAGAAACTGCATGTGTTAGATAAACTTCTTTTAGGAATAAATTATATAGTCAGATTGGCTGTGAGTTCAATGTTAATGAATCAATAGTATATATTAAAGTGTCTTTAAACAAAAACATGCATAAAACACAGTTGTATATTGATCAGTGGATGAAAACATAACCAGAGGCTCACAAGAACCTAATGATGTTCCCTCAGGAAGAGTGTTTCAGCATTCTGTAACTCAGTGTTCACAGCAATGTCATAGGATAGAACTACTGCAAAAATGAGAATCAACTGTATGGTTGTGTGCCAGGTTTGTCTATTCATTTTTTGAATTACCATGCTGGGGTAGTTAGGAAATTCCTTTGTAACTGATAGATCACAAAAGACAATTCTCAGCAAGAAGCAAACAATACTTTCACATCTGAGGGGCAGAGTAGACCTGTTCCAAGGGAGAAGTGGGCTCCTGAAAGGTGAGATTGGGATACAGGAAGGACAAGTCTTGTCTACTTCAGAGGGTTGTCTGGAGCTATTTTGGAGTGCCTGGATATCAACACCACATTAAATATGTATTGATCACTGTGAGACAAAGTAATGAAAAACTTAACCCTTCAGGGTTTGTTCTGCATTTATTTTTTTGAGGAAAAATATTTCTTATTTTTACAAAGTATAATCAATACTTTGGGAGGGAAGGAGGTACGGCTAGGTTTGCTGGAAAATAACTCTATTGTCTCACTGTCTGTCTTTCAAACTTAGCACAGTCTATTAAGTAGATTTAATCATTATACTCAAAAAGCAAACCAAGAAATTAAGTATAATATAAAGCCATGCGGGTGCTGAATGGAGAACTTTAAAAATAACAATTTGTACATATTGTACATTTGTCTCTTAAGTTTTAAGTGGTGTGAAATCTATCTGATCAAATCACTTGAAATGTCAAGATGTAGGAATGACACTTCATGTAACAAAGATATGGCATTTCATCTAAAATTATGTTTTTTTACAGCTCATGAATGAATAAATGAGTGATGGCTATAAACTTCCTCAGCCTCCCAGATGAATGGTTGTCACAAAAATGTGAAGGCTAACAAAGCAGAAAAATGGCAAAAGAGGGAATATGTCTTAAGGATTATAGTGGGATTTAGTGTCAAATGCTTTGAAAACATAACTCTCATGGTCTATTACCGTATTTCACAAGTTAGTAGATAATGGATAAAAATGATCTAATTTGTTACAGGTTTAAAAGCCTGACTACCTTTTTTTTTCTTTCTTCTCCAATTCTCATCCTTTTTCTGTCAACTTCCTATCTTCCCAAGTATGTTTCCAACACACACACACACACACACACACACACACACACACACACTTAACCACTGTGCCAGACAATGCACCACAGGGAAAGGAAAATAAAAAAAGACTTTGCTTTCTAAAATTTCAGTCTAAAGAAGGTAATAGAAAAAAAATAAAGAAGGTAATAGACATAAATGGGAATGATGTAATAAATACTATAACAAGCAGAAACAGTTATACATAGTTAAAAGAGGTCAATATTTTTGCTGGAGAAAATTTGAAGAAGGTTTCAGCCAACTCTTACGAGATCGTAAGAGTTTGACAGATACAAAATGGGCAAGTTAGAGGAACAGGAAATACATCTGATAGTCTCCAAATTCCAAATTTGAACTTCATATAGTTAAGTATAATGAGAATTGTCTGACATAACTTATGAAGTGATCTGAACACTTTGAACTGATCCTGAAATTATTATGACAGACATATTTATTTTTTTAAGACAGACATATTTAATGTGAAAACAATCAAGCTGAATTTGAAGACAAAATCCTAAGATACTTTTTGTGCTTTCAAGTAAAGGAATTTGGTAATATTGAAATATTCCCTGAAGGGAAGGATGGATATCAAACAAAGAAGGAAGGGAGACTCTTCCTGGTGATACTCTATTCCACCGACTCAGATCACCATGGAAGCATCATGTTGCACTCTGGATACCACAGTTGAAGAGGATCATTCATGGATTTAATGACCTCAAAGATACAAAGATTTATAGGAGAATTAATGCCATAGATGAAATACTAAAGGACTAGGTATATATTGTCCAGAAAGAAAAATATACCACAGATATCATTTGGTTATTATTGTTTTGCAGTGTTTGCGGGTATTGGTTTAGATGTTCAATGATCACCCTGAGAGAAAGTGTTTCAGAATGCAGTCAGCAGATACCTCATGGTTTTATTGAGCAGCCTCAAAGACACTGTGAAGGATCAATGTGGGGATACACTCCAGTGCTATCTCATCCAGTATGGTAGACATGAGCTACAATGTACTATTGAGAATTTTAAATGTAGCTAATGCCACATTTGTCAAAAATGATAACATTTTGGATACATTTGATTAAGTTAAATATATTAAAATTAATTTCACTGTTTCCTTTTCTTTTCCAATGTGTCCACTAAAAAATTTACAACTACAATCATGGCTTACATTATATTGCTAGAAGACAACATGTTCTCACGTTCTTATGATTGGCACTGCAGAAGCCCCATCTCTGCTTCAGTCATAAATAATAGCCACAAATGTATTTGTATCATCAATTGTGCTTTTGAATATTTAAGTTTACTTTAAGAAAGAGTTCTATGGGTAAAAAAAATATTTGAAAACCATGCCAAATTGTTGGTAAGGTAAGGAGGAAAAAATCTCATCTTACAATGAAATGTTATGTAGTTAAATGGAACGAGGTGAGCTATGTGTCTTAATAATATAAATAAATGAAGATATATTATGGGTGAACAAAGCAAGTTGCAAATGATACTTATGTTGAATTATAACCTACTCTCTTATATGTACTATTCTAGTCTACATCTCTATATAATTACTTGGGCAATCCTTTAGAAGACTCACAGCTAAGACTGAAATTGGAAAGATAGTAGGGTGAGTGAAGGGAGGTTTGCTGCAAAGTTATATAGCCTTATTTATATGTTACAAAGATAATGTAACTATGTATCACATCATCATTATTATTATTGATACTACTAAGCTGCTTAACCTTCCTTTCTTACCACCCCATGGCTTTTCTGATCCTGAGAGGAAAATAATGTTAGCCAAAGGAGCACATGGATAATAGCAGGGGCACCTGAAAGTTAGTATCAAACTTAGAGAACAATGCATGCAAGAAATAGGCAGGGAATCACTCTTCAGGTTATTCAGTGTGAATGTAGGCTTGTTGGGATCACTAGTTCCCCTTGTCTGGCTAAATGAGGAGCCAAACAGCTTAACAAGTTAAACTAAGTAATCAAAAAACAAAAGTAAATTCTTTGGGGTCCATACCAGAAGCTCTATCAGCTCCAAACTATAGAGGCCTTACATACCCTGATCATCAGCACAGCTTTTCTGATGTCTCGAACACCATCATATACCAGGCGAGAGGCATCAATGAACTCATTCTCTTCAAATGGTTGAGGGACATTGGCACTCAGGGCTTCAATGGCAACCTCTACTTGCTCGGCAAAGCGTGGCATCACTGCATTAAACAAAGTGAGAAACAATGGATTAGGTGATCTTTCTCTCATGCTCCCTGTTCCAGCCCTTGGGGAAGGTGGCACACTCCAAGTATTCCAGTAGCTCAGTGGAACTGTGTGTCTACCTGTCCAGTTTGGGGTGGACTCAATTCAGTGGTCTTCGTACCACTTACCTTCAGCAGAGGAAGCACGCCATTACTCCATGAATGGTGAGGATATGTAACAGCAAAGTTTTGAAACCTGTTCAGGATTGTGTGGCATAGTGTATATACATACATATTTCGTGTTATTCTAACCTGAGTTGAATTTCACTTCTGCTGATTACTAGCTGTGAAACTTTGGCTAAGTTTTCTTAACTCCTTCTAAACCTGCTTCTTTGTCTATAAAATATAAGATCCTATCTTAAGTTTCAATGAGATAATACATACATATTTATTGGATGGTATTTGGCCCTCAAAAAGCCTTGATAAATATTTAATTAATATCATATGCTAAAGTCATAGGTAATGAGTAATAGATCTTAACCTATATGACTTCATAGTAACCTGTGAATGAAGTAATCCAGTGTATTCCACTTTTGTCAAGACAGGACTTGAGATTGAAGGAAGGAGGATGGCAGTAGAGGAAGGCTCATAGAAGGACCATAAAAGAGGGGAAAGGGAATCCCAGGGCACTCTAGCACAAAGCCTAGGGTTAGAGACCATTGGGATCATAACTGAATTCAGTTTTATTTCATTTTACCAGGACCATTTTGATGTGAAAGAAGATGCATTTATAAACTCCTAAAATGTTAAGCACCTCTTTCTTTAAAACAAGATACCTACATACATAATGGAGGTTTGTGGAAAGTAAATTCAGTGGAATGTCTGGAACACTTCCACTGGCTACTTAAAAAATGCTGCTGATTCACGGATTCTCAAAAATTATAATTCAATTTTCGCAGATTTTATCTTGTAACAATCAATTTATATGGCGAATGAAAGCCAAAAGCACAATTCATTTTATTTACAAGGACAATAAAATAGAAACATCATTCATCTATTTTCCATTTCTGAACTTTCATGCCTGATTCATCTTTATACTCATTTTCATCCTCTGTGGATACTTTAACATCTATTTTAATCCTTAGTGTGAGAAACTCTGCTAAATTGCTTTACTTTCTAGGGTCAAAGTATTCAAGATAAAACCTTCCTAGAAAAATGTGCTTCTACTAGGAAAAGTCAAACATTAAAAAGTATACTTAAAAAAAAAAAGAGAGAGAAAGGTTACAGGAAAACAGAGTAGCCATTCTTTCAATAGAAATGATCAAAACCAAAGCATGCATGGGGTGAATTTACTTCTGTGAGTGAATGACTATGATCGGTTCTCTATATCATTTGAATTTTTCATTTGTGCCTTTGAAATGCTTTACATAAAGGGAATTTGGTGGACATTGAGTTGTACTGCTGGAAAAACCAAATAAAAATGTACTTCTAAATACCACATTAAAAGCCACTTCAGCTTTCCATCGGTATTGGGAATAAACTGTTTGACATGACTAAATAATATAGATCATTAAAATTGACCTCCCTAGACATGAAAATACTGTTACATGTATTTGGCATTTTCCCTTGAGCACCCTTCTTAAAACCAATTACAAATTCCCTTCCCTTCCTAAAGTGAAGATTCTGAATATTAATTTCATTCTATTTGATGTCTAAGCTGCCATCATGACCATCAACAATTTTACATATTTACATGGTATCATCAGTAGCAGCGAGCTGCCTGATGTTTTGTCCCTATTGTTTTACTGATAATTGGTACTCCTCCGTGTAAACAAAATAACTATGCCTACAAATGAATAAGACAAAAACTAAAAAAATAGACCATGGAGCAGAACAGGTATTCACAAAACACTAAACCCCATGTTATTAATACATGACACTTTACTTCACTAATAATTGAAAAACCTATAGTGTAAACAGTGGGAGATCATTTCATACCTCTAGGAATGGGCAAACAAATGAAAGTGTAATAACACCCATGTTACAGAGCATGTGGAAAAAAGGGAACCCTCCTAATGTAGATAGGAGTCAAGTGGGCACACATCATTCTGACAAACACCTGGACAAAATCAAATGAAATAAAGCCTTCCAGTCCCAACCAGTAAGCTGAGACATTTTCTAGGTCACTTTCTTGTTTTAAAATTTTATTTTTTTATTCACGATACAGACAGAGAGAGGCAGGAACAAAGGCAGAGGGAGAAGCAGGCTCCCTGTGAGGAGCCTGATGCGGAACTCGATTCCAGGACCCTGGGATCATGACCTGAGCCAAAGGCAGACACTCAACCACAAAGTCACCAGGTGCCCCTCTAGGGTATCTTCTAAAGAGTTACTGATGAGGAGGGATGTATACACTGGAGTCACAGGAACATCTTTTTGTCTCTATGGTTATAGTTGTTTCTTAAGAGGTTGAATATTCCAAGAATTGATAAGAGTTATATTAAACCTAGGGATAAAAGTGACAGCTTTAATCCCTTCCAACTGGCACTATCTCAGGGCTGTAGACACCACTAAGTGGGACATTGGGGAGACACAGTAAGCTGTTCACTCCAAGATCATGGGCAGTACATCAAAATGGAACCAAATGGACTTTGGGATATAAGTCAGGAGACAGTCAACATAGTCAGGTGAGTAAGCTCCTAAAGTCAAAATGCTGACTGGGAAAATGAAACTGAAAAGAGATATTATTTGTGAGAAATTAAAAAATTCACAAAAGAATACTGTGCATAATTTAAGCATAAATAAACTTTATTACACATGCTCTGAGAGGATGTATACCACCTTAAGTATAGGAAATGCCTTTGAAGGGAATGGAGGGTCATGAGATCAAGTAAAGGTGGCTTGAAATATCTTAATTCTTAGGAAAATAATAATATGAATCAGATATTGTAAAATGTTAATATTTGTGACACCTCAGGGTAGAAGCAGGGTCTTAGTTACATAACTTTGAATCTTTTTTCTTTTACTTTGAATCTTCTTACAATTCAAATATTTTTAAAAGATCAACATATTATCCTCAAGGCTGTACTTTTTATAGAATAAGGCTCTGAAAAAATAAAGTTCTAGCTCATGGACCAGAATGCAATAGAAACCACTTTGATCAACAGTATTATGTGAGGAAGTCCCTCAGATAGTGTGACTGACCAAATGCCTACTATTCGACTGTAATTAATAACTGTCCATTGCAGAACAGAGTTTGGTAGGGATGCCTGGGGGACTCGGTTGAACATCCAGCTCTTGACTTCGGCTCAGGTCATGATCTCAGGGTTGTGAGATGGAGCCCTGCTTCATGTTCCGGTTCAGTGAGAAGTCTTCTTCCTCCCCTCACCGCCCCCCCCCCAAAATCAATCAATCAATCATTCTTTTTTTTTTTTTTTAAAGTTGAGTTAGGTAATAGCTACCCACTAGACCCTGGGCTCTTGGGCACACACTTCTATTTTCATACAGGTCTTTAATGAAGTATAAAAGGGTGATCAGTGTTGTTGTGGGGCTTTGTTCTGTTTATGCAAGATTGCCCTGAAGAAGAGCTGAGGAGGAGGAAAATGTAGGAGGTGTCATGTTATCTTTCTCCACCAGCTTCTTGGTCTGATTCTGTGCCCAAGGGAGAGAGAGGAAAGCTAAAATCTACTCTAAAAAGGGACCACTTTTATAAGGGATGCTCTGGGGCCCAAAACATGCCCAGAACTGCTATAAAACCCCAATATTGGAGAAAGGTATTCCGTTTGCTCCAACATGGAGTACAGAATCTCTCTAGGGGAATTGAGGACGTGGCAACACTGCTGTGGACATAGCATTGTCAAAAGAAGTAGAAAAAAACAATGTTCTTTAGTAAAAAGATTGGAACAGAACATAACATCAACCTCCTATGTAAGGGGGAAAAATGAGGAGAAGAGGTACAGAATCCTTACTTAGAAATGGGGTCTCAGAGTTCAATTTATCCTTAATATTCCAATAATTTTATTATATTCCTCAACCTGGTAAAACCCACAACTTGAACTAATTCAATTTTATCTTATTTACTTTAACTGACAAGACATTCATTTCTCTTACCTCAAGTCAGTGGTTTTTCTAGGTCTGACCCTTAAGAAAATCTTTCTCCATGCTCTGTTCTTAAACACATTCAATACTTATTTATATAGGTCTTGGTCAACTGCTACCACTCTTTAACCAATATACCTTTGCTCTCCATGCTGCTGTTCTCTTTGCTGTTTTAGTTTTATCTTGTTTTGTTTTTTAAAGCGATAAGACAGAAAAATAAAAGTTCATAGAAAAATGATCCAACTTGACAGGACCTAAGATGTTAAACTATGAATTCTTCTAATGCCTCTGGTAAGGTCTTAAAAAATCAATATCCCAAAAGTAATTCTGAGATAGAAAAAGTCTGAAACCACTTCAAGTATGATGCTGCTTCTACTTCCCACTAATTAGGACGAAACACAGTATTGTCTTTCTGATTCACACATTATATATTAACAGGGTTTTGATACGGGATTATAAAAATAGAAATTTCTTTCTAGTTTCTAAATTACATTCAAAAATGTAGATACCACTTTACTGCTATTTATCAGAAATACTGAATTGCTCTTAATGGCTTATATCCTGAAAGTGTGATCAAAGTTGGAAATAAGCTTATAAGTTCTTGCTATACTTTTGTATGCAGAGTGCACACTAGGCCACAGAATGATGACATTCTGAGAGTAATGAAATCACAGTTCAGCATGTATATAAAAATCAAGGTCACCTCATTCTAGTGTCTATTGAGATCCTAAAACAAAGGTGAGAAAGATCTAGACTGAATCCTCCAGAGAGACATTGGAGGTGACGTTTCAGAGCACAGGGTGAATCAGGAAATGAACAAGAAGTTGTACAATAGATGCAAATAGGACTGCTGACAACCAGAAGAGCAAAATACAAGGTTAACTAGAGGTAATGGAAATATACAGCCAACTAACTCCACTGCC